TTTTTGTTTTCTCGAACTCCTCAGATTTTGAAATCGGAGTTGTACAGGATTTACACTGACTCATCCCAAACTTTTCAAGAATCATTCTTGTATAGGATGACTGACTGACATTAATATTTCCCTTCCCATCTTGATTAATCTCTAATCCAAGGAAATATTTTGCAGGTTTAGATGTTATCTTGAACTCAGACTTTAATTCTTTTTCAAATATTTTTAGTTCTTCTTTATCGGTTCCTGCAACTAGTCCATCATCAACATACAGTGCAAGTATGAGTTTCTTTCCTCCCTGTATTCTAATGAACAAACAAGTATCTGCATCGCTTTGTTTGAAATGTCTCTTTTTCAAGAATTCAGCAAAGCGTTTGTTCCAACATCTTGGAGCTTGTTTAAGTCCATAGAGACTTCGCTTGAGTTTACAGACTCTTCCTGAATTATCTTTAAAACCTTCAGGTTGCTCCATGTAAATATCTTCATCTAGTTTGCTGTATAGAAATGCTGTTGACACATCAAACTGCATGAGTGACATCTTTTCATTTGCAGCAACACTTAATAGTGTTCTTATAGTTGAACTTCTGACCACAGGACTATAGGTTTCTTCATAGTCAATTCCCTTTTTCTGAGAAAAACCTTTTACCACTAGCCTGGCTTTAAAACGTTCAACAGAACCATCTGCATTGTGTTTTACCTTGTAGACCCATTTGCATGGTATTGCCTTATGACCTTTTGGAAGACTTACCAAATCCCACGTTTGATTTTTCTTTTATGACTGCATTTCACTGTTCATGGCTTTAAACCATTCATCATTTTCATCACTTTGAATGGCATCTTTGTAGCTCTCTGGTTCAAGTACTTCACTTAATGCAGACATAACGAAAGGATCATAACGAGATGGCTTTTTGATATTATTCCTGTCACGTAGAACCATACCTTTGGTCTTTTGATTACAACAGTCAGATTGATCTTCTTCATCAGATGAAACTGAACTACGGTTGTGAACATTTTCATTAGTGTCATCTGAAATTTCTTCTTTTGAATCATCATTTCTACTACTTGAGTCATTTTCTGATTTGCAATTGATTTGAGGATCTGTTGTAAAATCTTTTTGAGTCTGATGTTCAAATGATGTTGTACATTTCATAGGTTTTTCTTGGAAAACTACATCTCTTGAGAATATCATTTTATATTGATTTTTGAGCCATATACGATAGCGTTCGTCACCATCGTAACCAACAAGGTAACCTTTTATGGCTTTCTTATCCATTTTTTGACGTTTTTGATCAGGTATGTGAACAAAACATGTAGAGCCAATTATTCTCAAATGGTTAATTCTCGGCTTTTTACCTGTTCAAATTTCAAATGGGCTTTTATCTTCAATCGACGACTTGCCTGTTCGATTAAGTAAATATACTGCAGTTGAACATAACTCAGCCCACATAGCGACTGGAAATTCAAAATCTGGATTTGAGTACTTCAATGTGCGTGCCATTTCTACTATTGTTCTGTTTTCACGTTCACTACCACCATTTTGTTGAAGTGTATATGATGCTGTTAGTCTTTGCGTGATTCCATGGCTGCGCAGGATGTTTCGAACTTCTTCGTTGTCAAACTAACCCCCATTGTCACTCAAAAATTCTTTTACTTTATGACCTTGAGTCGCTGCTTGAGACAAAATATTTTGTAGTGCCTGTTTCACTTCATTTTTGTGTCTAAGAAAAGAAATGAACCTCATTTTGCTGTAATGATTTTTGAAAACAACAAAATATCGTTTACTATTAAATGATTCTGTACTGAAAGGACCACAAACATCTGCTGATAGTAGTTCACCTGGTTTATTGGTTGCATTTCTCTTGCCAAATTTTAACCGATGTGCTTTACCATAGAGACATGGTTCACACAAATCCTTGTCAAGATGAACTATAATGTTTAACTCCTTTTCTATAACATTCTTTATGTGACGTTTATCTTGATGACCAAAACGTTCATGGTAGAGCTGCACTATTGAATTTTCACTGACTATATTCACTTCAGCCGGTGTATTTGGAGTTAATGAAATCAAGTTTGCCTCATACAAGGAACCATCTACTTGTCTTGTCCCTTGTACTACCACTCGGTTCTTTATACTGAGTTGGCATTTGGTTGCATAAGATTCAAACTTGCTGTTTTTTGAATTTTTATCTTGTGCGGCTAATATGGAAAACAGGTTTCTACCTATATTTGGAACATACCAGACATCTGAGAGTTTTATATACTGTTGTTTGTTATTTACTGTTGACAGCATATTTATTTCGCCTCTACCCACAGCAGCAAGAACTTCTTTTCCTGCAGCTTGAACAGAACATGGTGCGACAAACTTCTCAAAAGTAACAAAATTATCTGGATTGTTCGTTAGGTGTTTTGTTGCTCCATTGTCAATATACCACTTAGTGTTGTCTCTCAGTGTTTGATTACTGGCTGACGTGCACAAAACTACATTTGATGTTTCATCATATGCTTTTCTTGGTGTCGCTGAAACATTTTTGGAATTTTTAGAAGGTCTTCCATCACTGACCCACTTTCTACTTTGCCTAACCCAGTGTCCAGGTTTATGGCAATAGTTGCAGTTACCAACTGGTTTTGTCCTTCTAGCGAAATCTCTTGATTTGTTGAAACTTGGCTTTTCAACATTTACAACTAAGGCCTTGATGATTTATCGATTGTGTCGAAAGTCTTTATCTCTCTTTCGAAAGCACAGAGATGAGTGATTAAATCATCTATCGACTGCTTTTCTTCACCTAGCATTAGCCAACTTGATTTGAAATTTTGGAAACTATTTGGGAGAATCTGCATCGCTTTGCATACTAATAGCAGCTCTGGTAGTTTATTTTCTCCCGATGCCTGAAGCCCACTGTTTAATTCATTCCATAAAGTTTTCAATCTTGCAATTTGGCCGGATACATCTACATCCGCTATCCAATTGAAATCGAAAAAATTGCTACAAACTTGGAACAGTTGGTCCTTAGTTGACGCTTCAAAATTTCTTTTTAATTCCTCCCAAACTTCAAACGCTGTGTTCTTGTCCATTATCTTTTGGTATGTATCTTCTGTGACTGCATTTGCAATTACTGATTTGGCATAACTGTTTGCCTTTCTAAACAGATCTGATTTATTTTTAAAATCTTTTGCCTGTTGCTCTTTTTGGTTTTCTAGTAATTCTGGTTTCGACAACTTCCCATCAATCACATCAAGTGCGCCCTCATGGTAGTCCATGAAATCTCGAACACGACGTTTCCAAATGGGCCAATCGGCTGCGCAACTTAACTGCTTTATTTGAAGCTTTGAATCCATTTCTTCCTTGTCTTTCAAATTTACCTTTTAATTAGAAGCAAAATATCGAATTTCAGGGAATGAAGAAGCACGTGCTTTCTCTTCACTTCAGTCTTCACAAAGGAATCTTCCGATATTTCTTTATTCTAAATTTTCTTCGTCAAATCAATTAATTAAGAAAAAAAACGTTATCTGGGTCCCATAACCTGTTAAATTTCTTATTACGTAGATCGCTTAATTAATTGATACAATATTGAAAGACATTAATAGACAAGAAATAAACTTTGCAACGTTCTTGACTTGTTTATTATCCACCGGATCAACAGAAAAGGAAAAGTGAAGTTACATACAAAGCAAAGAACATTTGGTCCAAAGAAAATAAATGTATATTATAAATCATAATGTTTTAATATAAAACATAAAACTTAACAGCATTTACATTCAGAATGCCAGATGTTAACAGTGAAGCAGCACTCCGAGTTGCTATCCTCACAATTCCTTCTACAATGTTACAAACCAAGCCACCCTTGCGACATCATTGCCACTCAACCACGACCTCACTAAAATATGAAGAACACTCTCATCTCAAGATGGTCATCAACGGTCGTAGCGGTGCTTCCAGCGAACATCAACAACAAGTCTCTAAAGGCCGCACCCAACACTCTTCATAGTAACGCCGCCAAAGCCGCCGCCGAGTCGTACCAGGCACCGATACTGCTCAATGGGTGGCCACCACCAACCCCTAAAATAGACAAATCGGAGGAAACCCTATCAAGGGTAACCAGGTGGACTCTCGCTCAACTCCGATCCGGCCACAGCATCCTTTTGAACAGCTACAAGAATAGAATAGACAGTGGACACATTAACATATATCTTTTCTGCCAAACACATCCAGATGATGTGCCACATTTGTTCAGCTTTCCACAGAATCCCACTGTCCTCAATCCAATAGATCTGTGGAGAAACCCGGTCGCGGTGGCGAACTGGCTCAAGCCTCGCCTGGAACCCAAGTCCGGCAACAATAACAACAACAACAACAACAAATAACTGTGAAACTCATATACTGACAATATAAACAGAAATGAAAAAAAAGAAAAAATAAAAACTAAAAAATATCAGCATCTATCAAAGTTTACCATTTGTCTTTGTTGAGCAATTAAAAAAAATTACATATTAGCATATTTTCGCACATATATATTCACACATACAACATACACATACATAATAATAACAACAACCACGTCATCCATCCTCTACTACCACCAATTAAAACTACAATACACAACCTTCGTCAACGCAAGCATAACTATCAAGTCGCCACCCAATCTAAATACACATCAGAAAAAGAACTTCATCACAAGACACCTCAAACATATACACACTCAATAAAACTTTATCATTCACACCTCACAAACTCACTAAGTCATCATCTAGTCTATTAATTTGCCTTTCTATGCCATTACTTCATTTTATTGTCAATTTATTTTATTTTCTTTTATTTATTTCATTATTATTATTATTATTTATTTGTTTTATTATTTTTTACTTTTCATGTTTAAACATTTTTCTTTCTCCGTTTTTTGTTTATCTATTTACTTAACAGTTTCTGCGTCTGTCAAATCCTGATTTTTAAAGAATAATAAAAAAAACATACATACATATTACACACACACACACACACACACACACACACACACACACACACACACACACACACACACACACACACACACACACACACACACACACACACATGGGAAAACGTTCAAGCGCACAGATATACATAGATCATGGAATCCTACAATAATAACTACTGGAAAGTTAACGTTGTAAGCGGGTTCGTAATGTTAAAATATAATTTGAAATATTATTTTAATTACATTATTTTTAAAATTAATTTACAAAATGGTTGAAAAATGTTGTGCGATGAACTGCAAAAAAGGTTATTGATATCGGACCAACTATTTTTTATTTATTCAGTTCAATTAAAATTAAATAATTCGTTATAAATATTATTTAAGGTCTTAGTTTAGTTATATTTACCATTTGTAATATAAATATTAATTTTTTTTAAACTACTAAATTTCGTTCATTCTCTAATTTCCTAATTAGGTTACAACAATATTTGTCCGGAGAACGTCACGTTACATCGTTTTCCTTTGCACAACGCCGATATGTTGCAGAAATGGATAAAAGCAAATCCAAGAATAGGTCACACCCCAACAGCCAATTTGCGAATGTGTTCATTGCATTTCAAACCCGATGATTTCATCAACAAAAGTCACCCATAATAAAAAAAAAGCAAATAAAATTTTATTGAAAACGCGATTGAAAGATGATGCTATTCCATCAGTTTATCAAGATGTTCCTTCGTACTTGAACAATTCAAATGTTAGCAAACCAAGAAGTGGAAATGCCTCTAGTGAAAAAAGGATTTACAAACACAATAATTCTTTAATAAATTGGAGAAAAGTTTTCAAATAGATGATGATATTAGTGAGTTGGGTATAATTGATATAAAAGAAAAATTATTTCAAAAGCAATCGTTACCTAAAGGATTTATTATTAATGTTGTTGACAACTTAGAGTCAAGATTTATATGGTTCAGGCAACTGTCTGGAGCTAACTATTACTTGTCAATGAGACAGGTATACTGGAAAATCACAGAAAAATTTGTGCCATCTTCTTCTTCAATTATTCGCAATTATGACTCAACACACTCAATCATTATTAGCCGTGAAATCCTCGACAGCAACACCAAAGTAATATACCAGAACAGCAACTACACTCATCTTAAAATTGCAGAAGCGGTCCTAATTGACATCAATAAACCAAAAATAAATATACAACAAAACATGACAACCAACCCGGCGCTTAACCAACATGAAAACAAAAAAGTAATAAAAACTAACATTGTAAGTAGTGACAAAGAAGAATATGATGCTATGGATGAAGAAAAGGAGACCAAAGAAGATGACCAGCCAATAAAGAAACCCTGACACCTAATTTCCATCTATATTCACTTTGACAAAATCAATCTCCATCTAAATTCATTTTGACAAAGTCAATATTTCCCTATATAAACATCAAAAAGCACTGATGATGATTCATTCGCAATCGAAATATGGCCTTATTTGCAGCATGAATTCGGAAAATAAGTTTATTTAGAATTTTAATAAACTAAACGTTCACCAAAAAACTTTAGTGAGAAAAATTGAAAAAACGAACTACAAACACATTAACGCCAAACATTCGGTAGAATTTATAGAATACTGTAAATATTTACAATTATGGTCTATTACCAACATATATATATATATATATATATATATATATATATATATATATATATATATATATATATATATATATATATATATATATATATATATCACAGCATGTTCGGCGTTAGTTAACTTCCAATTTAGCTTTTCGTTTTTTCTAACGGTTAATCGTAAATCATTTTCAAGTTTTTCAAATTGTTTTTCATAAATTAATAGCATATTAACACCTTACAAGCAATTTAGCATTTATTTTCCGAACAAATTCTTTATAACGAGTGTTATATTTAAGGTATTTATGGACCAATCAAGTGTGTTGTATGGAGGTCTGACTGTATATGCTCCTTTCCTATATGTTATTAAATGACTATAGCTCAATATCTATATCAAAAACTCAGACTGACTTCACTCGTTGTTCATTTTACAAATCGTAAATTGAATGGTGTTCGCTTGCTGTTTTTCACTGGTAATTAGATTTTGGAGTCTCGCGGACAGATTTATTAATTACGTTGAATCAGTCAACAGTAATGTCTTCTCAGTTTGTTAGTATTAATTTTGTTTTGATCAACGTTGAATTTTTTCGCAGAGAATGAATGGTGAATCGATCTGCGTTGTTTTAGTTTAGTCACTAAACTTTAGGTAGCTAACTAATGTTTTAGGTAGAGTAGAAATAGATGTAGAGATCGTAGATGCATTTATTATTTTTTCAGATGAATTTTTTACTTTGATAGAGTTAATTAAAATGGTAAAATTAGTCTACGTTTCTCCCCTTCCTTTTTTATATTTTATTTTAATTTAATCATTATGATTATATTATATTATTGCTATGTATTTTTTTACTTTTAGGTTCAGTTTAGTTTAGAGTAGTAGGCTTTCGTTTTTTTATCCCCATTTATGTAAGTAAAATAAATAAATTAATAACGGTAAAACGTTTTTGATTTTATATGAATTTATTTGACTTTAATAAAATTAAAGTATTTACATGATAAACCTTTATATGAGTATATGATTATTATTGTTGTGGTGGTGGTAATGGTGAAATGTATAATATATTATGTTCGATTGAATAGTGTTGGTTGTAATTGTGGGTTTGTTAATATAGATGTGATTTGAAATATATCATTGTCGCCCATTTCATTATTAAAAAGAAAATTGTAAGCAATATTACATTATACGTTACACAAGATAAAAATATAACCATGTTTGAAAATTGGAGTGCATATTTTTTATAATAATAAATTTTGGTTTATTTATAGTGTTGCTATTTGGCTATCCCGAGCTGCAGAAATGGTTTAGGATTGTTTTTTGTCAAAAATATGTTAATTAAATTTAATTTTCAATGTTGCTAAAGTTTTGTTATCGTCTGTAAAGCTCAAGCCAATAGAAAGATTCTGGCCTAGTATTGCCCACAATTAGCAACGCTATGATTGCTCTAATTTTTAACTCTACAGTTTCCTCTCAGTTCTACCTCCATACGTTTATCAACATCTCCTCATTGAATGTTGAATGAAAAATCAAAATTTTATAAAAAATGTTCATGTTATTTTTCACAACTCTGCCTGATATAAAGATTCAAATTGTTTGAGTCTTAAAGACGTCAAAAAAACTTTTAAAAATCTAGCTCAAGTCACAGCCCAAAAACAACATAATTTTATATAATCGATAATAACAAAACTTCCTAATTCAAGAAAGCAGTAGTTTTTTTTTAATCAATTAGCGTTTAATTTTAGATTTAAACAAATGCAAGTGACTGTGAGCTTTAATCTCATGTGGAATCGCCGTGTCCCAGACCTTCGGTCCTGTTAGTTTCAAACTTTTATTTATTAATTTTATTCGGACTGGATTTGAATAAAAAGTAGGATTGTGTCTTAGAGGCTTACTGTGAATAGTATTTATTAGAGTAAAAAAATCTTCATAAGAAAGCGGAATTAATTCATGTAGGTATTTAAACATGAAAATTCAATCAATCAATCTTCGTTTTGCATCCAGAGACCCGGTTTCCCGAGGTAGGACGTTGAGACAAAGTATAAATGGATGTTGTTTATATTTAAAATTTTCAAAACAGGGTAATATTTTGAAACAGAGCAAAACAGATGGAGATTTAGTAACAAATGCAAGTAAAAAAAGTAAAAAATTTGCATGCATTATAATCATTAATTTTAATTTCTGTAACACATCTAATAGAAAAACAATAATTACAACTAGTGATTATAAAGGCTCCTCGTTATGACATTTTATTTATTAGGCTATGACAATTTTGGTGTTAGAAAAAAAAATAAATCAATAATATAATTAAAAGCATCATCAAAATTGATATAAATGCATGAATTGGTCAAAAAATGAATATTTACATCTTTGACAGATATTGAGATATGCATGATTTGCACCGAAGCCAACATTATTTTGCTTCAATTTTTCATGATTATCTGCTTCAATATTTGTAGAATTCTTGGATTTAAATATCCATTTTCTTATGTTTTATGGGCAAAGATTTGGATATGTAAATTTGTCGCTATTGCTGATATCAACACAGACTCTAAAGTCTTTCCCAAACGAGATTTAGCCTTGAAACAGCTTAGGACACTGAGTTTATAAGATCTTAATTATTCAACCTAGTTATCACTTGCCACAGAATCGTTTAGGTTACTGACAGAATATTTTTTTTTGCAATTAAGCCAGCAGATTTTGGTCAAACACTTGAATCATTAGTACTTTTTATGCTTCTAGGAGGATTATGCTTCTCAAATACGCTGTAAAACCGTCTGATTGCTGAGTAATAGCTGGACTTTGTTGCTGGGTAGGTGATATCTGAACCTGAATGGCAGGAATACTTGTAAGAAATAGTTGACTGAGGAGATTGTTGTTTCTGTACATTTGGTACTACTATATTCAGTTTTTAACTAATTTCAATCAGCTGTTGTTGGATATTAACATGTTTATCACAGTCATTTTTATCTGATTTCAAACTGACTATGAAGCCTGAAATTGTTTTCAGACTAGTTGCTCTGTAAATAAGTAATTTATTGTGAAGCTTATTGAAGTAAACATAGTCAATATTTTGCGTAATCTCCCACCATGGGAAGTAAATTTAAATATTTTATTATTAAGTCTTGGGATGAAAGTCTTATCTTGATAAGTTGATAGAGTGGTGATTTGTTAATCATGTTTACATTGATGGAGGTTGTGTGTAGTAGTTTTGATTGGTGGATGACACGATTAGTATTAGTTTCTAAATTTTTGAAAAATCTTGAATTGAATGTCCTGAATATTAAGTGATGGTAGGATATGATGAAGATATGCTGTTAAAGCGAATTAATTTTTTGAAGAGTGAAGATAAGTTGTAGTTGTTGAAGTTGTTATGTAGAGGAGCCGGACCAGGATGGAGCTGCCTATTAGATGTATGAGATGATGAGTGTTTATGCGATGCTGTATAATTTGGTGTCTTTGAGACCATGTGAGTGCGCAAAACGTTTGTCTTTGATGTGGTTCATATGAGGTGCCATGTTGAGTGTGTACATGAATGTATTGTCTAAAATTTGTAACTGATTTGTGACAGTGAAGGAGGGATATTCTGATGGTAATGTCATTTTCTTAATGTAATAGTTTTTGTGTTTCGTTTATGCCAATTAATTGCTAAAAGCATAAAGTTGATTTAAACTGTTTTTTTTCCATTTTTCAAACGTATACCAATTGAACACATTGTGTTTAAAGAGTATTTGTTGTAAAATTTTTATGTTGCTTTTTATTTTTGAAATAAATAGATTCATCTATGAACTTCTTTTTCTTTGTTAGTTGTTACGTATACAATCACCTAATCATGGCACCAAGAGAGTTAATGCCAGCCCCAATTTGTCTTTACAAAGTTTATTCCAGCAGGTTATTTAAATATTTTTCATTTTTTTAATTGGTGCTCAAGCGACCTAATCACTAAAAACCATGTTATTCTAGATTGATGCAGAATTCAATTTGTATGGAACTAAATGGAATTTGTGGCTAGATCGTAAAAAGACAAATCAAGTTTTTGGTTCTAAGAATAAAAATTCAATTAGTGCATTTAACATCAAGTATGTCTTCTTATAAAAAGTTTTCGGGCTGTTTTTATTTCAGCGTAAAGATAGTTTATAAATTTTGTTAATATTTTATTTTTTCATTTTGAACAAACTATTATTTGTTCAAAAATTAATGATTGTAAAAAATGTGTTTTATTTCAAGACATGGTGATATGCTGTACTTGGAAATTTTGCCTGATAATGATAAACAAAGCAATGGAACAAATAATTCGCAAATAAATGGCTTGGTAATTGAAGATGAAATTGATCAGATGTTGTGGAAACTGGATGGAAAGATCTATAGACAAAAAAATGAGCAGCTGTAAGTCTTGCATTGTAATTTGTTTTTGCTACATTATATCAAATTCTTGTTGGTGAATTTTATAACTGTTATTGGTTGATTTTATTTGTTCTTCCTTTAGGTAATTTACGTGAGCAATAGAATTAAAATGAAATTAATTAGGAATTCAATACAAATAACAAGTACCTCTTTACATTCCAATTCCAACCCACTCGCTACATCGAATGATTAGGTGCATTAACCATTACACCATCTCACCACCATGTATATTTAAAATGTTAGTTTACCAGATATTAGAACTAAAACCAAATTCAATTTTTTAGCTGTCGACATGGAGCTCAAGGCAAATGTTTACATTGTGTACCCCTAGAGGTAAGTTTGTCATTTTCTTGTTAAGTACGAAACAATGTTGAATTAACAAATATTGGCATTGGGATTTATTACTGGAAATAAAATTGAAAAAGTAATAGTAATATAAATAAGCAAGTATAGAAAATATTTGTTTTACGAACTAACTAAATATTCTGTGAAAAAATAATTTACCTGTTGTTTTTGAAATGAAAGGAACAAGCTTGTTATCAACGAAACAAGAGAATTAACTCAAAAATGTGAAAAGGTGTTAAATGCTTAAGGCCATCAGGATGTGTCACGTGTTTCATACTTATCTGCTCATTTGATTTTTTATTGCTTATATTTGGAATTCTTTTCAGCATGTATATACGCGTGTAATATCACATTAGGGGTGTGGATCTCTTGGCATTCGAACCTAGCCACTGCAACTGCAGTGCCAAGCATATTTTTATAAACAAACTCAAAACCAGGTAAATCAATCAAATTTGCATTATTATCATTAAGCTAAGTTCCAGTAACACATCACATACATCACACAACTGTAAGGAACTTGATATTTGAAAAAAATGTAAGAACTTGATGGGAGATAAAGTAAAAGCTTCGGTTTGTCAGATCTGAATAACGAAAATAAAAGTAGATCATATAAGGCAATACAACTTATTAATTTAGAGGATAAGTCAGAACTAATTGACAAAAATGAATGCTTATGTGTACAAACTTAGAGAATTGTACTTAGTATATGGGAAATGATGATTCTAAGAAAATTGTCTGTTTAAAGAGTAGTTACCCTTCAAATGAAAATATGTAAAGGTGAGGTACTTGAGAGTTTACAAAATTAATCATATTTTTTCTTAATGGAGGCTGTTATAATAATAATTTATTACTTTTTATTAATTTAGTGCACTTTATGATGTGCGTCAATAATAAATGACGTGAGAAAGCTATAAGACTTGTTTTAACAGAAAGTAGAAAGCTGCTATGTAAAATAATAGAAATCAACATTTTTTATTTGAGACGTTTTGATTATTTTGAGATTATTATGTGTTGAATAATAATAATGATGGCACAACAAAAAATCACCATAGCCCTATGATGAAGAGTACCTTCAAACCTTGGTTCCTCCTATCAAGTTTTTGTCTTTTCATTCCTATCTGAGGAAGCTTGTTGGCGGAGTAGACAAGTTAGTTAATAATTATTTTGTAATATTTAGATTAATTATTTGAAATTTTTTTGAGTAGTTTATATTTTTTTATACTTTTAATTTTTTTTAAGTCTATAAATTTGTTTTTATTTTGCTTTTTTTTAATAATTTCAATTGTTATTTTATTTTCTCAGATGTTAAAAGTATAAATATTGAATGTATGAAAATTTTTCATAAACACATGTTCAATAATATTTATTTGACTGGTTACATAGTAATCTTATTTAATTTATTTTATCTAGAACTTTATCAAACAACTATTTGTAGATTACGATGACAAATTACAAGTACAAAATATAAAACATATTTAGAGGTAAATTCGCTATGTTGGAAAATGCCAGTTGTAAGATAAAACCCGGATGTAAAGAGCATCTGCCATGGCCTGGAGGAATCTGTACAAAATGTCAGCCTAATGCAGTCACTCTTCAAAGACAGGTAGCATTACATAACGTTGATTGTGTACATTTTTTTACATCACTCGGGAAATTATTAATTTATTAGTTGCCCCGTAAAGTGATTTTTTTATATTGATGCTACCGCTCTTTCTTCTTTACAAAATTTCAGATCAAACCTGCTCCACGCAAATTTCAAAGCCTAATCAAAATGCTATACAAAAGAATTTTTGTCTAAATTTTGTTATATTGAATTCCAGAAATACAGACATGTAGATTTCATTCAGTTTGAAAATCCTAAAATTGTGGATAAGTTTTTGGATTTCTGGCGTGAGTCTGGAAAGCAGAGGATTGGACATTTGTATGGGAAGTATGAACATCATAAAGCAATGCCCCTAGGTATAAAAGCTGTTGTTTCCGCCATCTATGAACCTCCACAGGTATCGTTTATCTTTTATTGTGTTTTCTTACTATGTCACTCTAACAAGCGCCAAGTGTTTTAAAATCTTTACTTACTGTTTTCAATTAAACTGTTAATTAATTAAATGTTACATTATGTATGTATATTATCAATCAATCTATCATCGTTTAGCGTCCAGAGACCCAGTTCCCCGAGGTAGGACGTTGTTTTCTTTGCCATCAATTTTTTGCGCCAAATTAGATGATCAGTTGTATCCATTTCATTTAAATTTAGAGCTTTCACGTCTTGCTCGATTGTTTGCGACCAGTACTTATTTGGACGGCCTTTGGAACGTGAGCCAGGTACTTCAACATCTGCAAGAGAAGTTATGGCACAGTTTCCACTTCGTTTGACATGAGCAAACCACCGCAGACCGTGTTGCCGGCATTCGTCCTTCATATCATCTAAACCAGCACGACGCAGGATTTCGGTAGATTTGATGTGGTCCTTCAGACTAATTCGTTGCATCCATCGGAGCATTTTCATATCGGTTCGTTAAAGGTGTTGTTCCAGTTTGTTTGTCATTGGCCATGTTTCTGCACCATATAACAACACCGGACGTATCACAGATTTATAAAGTCTTGATCGTAGTGGTAGTGGGATGTCACGCCGCATCAATATAGAGGCAAGGAGATGCCATTTATTCCAGGCTGCACGTGTGCGTGCTTGAACGGCAGCTTCAGCTGTTCCAGTACAATCCAGAACATCCCCTAGATATTGAAACGATGTGACTTTCTCTACCTTATTGGCTTCAAAAACATTGCTATTTTGAATTTATTGTGGATTGATGCAAGCAGGACAAACAAAATTGGACACTTTAGATAAAGTACCAATTATTTTTGAACAACGTTTGTGACACCACTGGTTACACTGCTGACACTTGATTGAATTTTTACCTACACCAGCTTTAAAAACTGAACAGGGCCATCGTCCAGATGCTGTGGATTGGTTCATTGCTTTGGTTTTGCTGATGTTGTCTTTGAATCTATGATCGGCGAGTCTGGTGTTACAATCTTCAAACATCTGTGCTGCATTCTGTTCTGATGTGGCTATTAAAACGATATCATCAGCATATACTAGATTCCAAATGTCACCAGTGCGTATCGGTCTTGTGATTTCTTCCATCACAGTTATAAACAACAGTGGACTGAGAATGGAGCCTTGGTTAATTCCAACGCCGATGTCAAATGCATCTGTGTTTCCAACCGTTGTGCTGATGAGAGTCTTAGTATTCGTATACATTTCCATCACAAGTCGAACAAGATATTCTGGAATGAGTTGTCGACGTAGACTCCACCTGATTGCTTCACGGGGAACTCGATCAAATGCTTTTTCAAGGTCTACAAAAATGTGTGATCAGCGAACGCAATCTAGAAGTCATTTTTCATCTCTTCTGATTCGCCTGTCTGTGGTGCGTATCCAGAAGAAATAGCCATTGTTTGCTTTTCTAGGCGAAGCTTGATCTACATGAGACGTGAGTTAATCCTTTTAATATTTGGTACTTCTTGGGCTAGCTGTTCTTTGACAAAAATTTCAACACCATTTTTGGCCGTCTTTTGACCATTCCAGAATAGTTTATATTTTTCTTTGTCTGAATTGATATGACAGACATCATTCGATTTTCATCGGGCCTCCTGAAGGCAGCAGATGTCAATCCTTCTACGCTCGAGCATTTCTGCGATTTCCATTCTGCGGCCAGTCAGTGATCTAACATTGAGCGTTCCAAGTCTAAGTACCATAGAGGGGCCATTCTGAATATGTATGTATATTATATACATATATATATTTTTATATATACTATCATTAAAGACATTGATACACTTAGTGCAACAGAAACAGACAACATTACAGTTGTTTTGCGTAAAGAACGTTTTACCTGCAAACATTAATTCTGTCATATGTCTTCGTTGGTTCAAAAATAACAGTGAGCAAGATTTTCCCATGTGAAAAGGTTTTACCGAGCCGCTAATGTAACAAAGTGTGAATCAACGTATTGCTGATGTGATAGGTGCTTTTAATCTTGCCTTTTGGATGGATATTGAAATGATTTTCCTAAAATTTTCTTTATTTTTGAATTTGAACAATTTCTTTCTAATATTTCTGAAATTTCGCACTGAATGCCAAAAAATGATCAGCCTAACGATTCAACAACTTGCTAACAAGTCTCTAACAATTTAGAGAGGTTCATTTATGGTCCATTTTTTATATCCCGCCATTATGAACTATTTTACTATTAAATCATTGTTCTATCTGATGGTTATTGATTAAAAACGGTTTTATACCTCAAAATAAGAATCTAATATCGAAGAATTATGAAGGTTAACATAGAAATATTTCGTTTTTCTAATTGATTTTTTGAGCTTTGTTAAGAATCATTTTTACATCACTACTCCATGTAACAACAGTTTGTTTAAAATATTGAACATGAATTCATTAATTTCTGAATAACTGCTGTCCAACTGGTACTTTTAAATGGTACTTTTGAAATATCTTGTACAAAAACGCAAATTTATTAACATATTGTTAAACTTTCTAGGTTTGATTATCATTGAGGATTGTATGATTTTTTTTGAAATGCCTTATAGTAGCATTGATCTCGTCTTCTTAGAAACATTCTGTTAACGAATCCTAAATTTTCATTCTTGCTTTACGGGCATAATGTCCTAATAACCACCCAACGTTTTTGTCAGATCTCCAGATTATGGTAAAAATTGTTGTAATCAAGATGTCAATCAACGTCTAATAAGCAAACAAAATCTTTGTGCCCAATTTTGTGTCAAATTTTTTTGAGGAACGTTACATGAAATAGATGGTTTCTATTTTGCGTGCAGAATTGCTGAGCAAATATATTAATCACTTTCAGAGCCACTGACTACGTTCTATACTTAAATCACGTAATTAATAATTTTTAATTTAAAATTCTACGTGACAATATTTGGTGTACTGCAGACATTCATACATAACGAATTTCATTTTCATACACTGTTTTCATAAAAATCATGACCATTAACAAAAACTCTACATTTATTTGCTGTATATTTATATCTAAAATCAACAAATATGTAATCATTTCATAATTTACTTGTTCGAACTTTTGTTTTTCTCTAAATATCGATGAATTGCTGGTTTCTTGCTTGTCAAAATTAAATAAACCAGCAATGTTATTCATTTACACATTTATAAAAGATTGGGACGAAAACGAGCGTGGAATTGCTAGAAGATATGAATAACAACATTGTGGAGGAAATTGCTATGAAACTTGGACTGAGAAAAGTGGGCTGGATATTTACTGACCTCGTGCCTCTTGATATTTCAACTGGTTCTGTCAAACACCTGCGTGGACATGTGGTTGGTTATTTTTTTTTAGATTAACCTCATCTATAATTTTTAGTTTCGTTTTCAGAATTGTTTGTTATAATTGTGATTGTATAACAGCAAATTATCCAAGGACTGCATGCACATATGCCATTTTTTGTCAATCAATCAAATCAAATTTATTTAAAACAATAAAATGAAATGAAGTAACATGGAAGCCAAAAAGTAAAAACTTGTTAGAAGCTACCATTTAGTATTTAGGAACAGTTATCTAAATCAGTTTTTAATGAATTGAATATTGTAAAAAATATAAACGCAGAACATAAGCAGTAAAAATAAATTAAGTCTTATCACAGTCAGACTATAAAAAACAATTATAAAATGTACGAAATGAAATGTCGTGGAGGCCAAAAGTAAAAAACTTGTGAGAAGCAACCATTCAAATTGAAAAATTTAAAAAACAGCTAACTAAAATTTATAAAATTTAAAAAACGAAAAAGTAAAATTGTAAATACAGAATAAAAGCTGTAGAAAGAAATGAAATGTATCACAGTCAAGAACTATAAAAACAACTATAAAAAGTATGCAATTGATTTTTAAAAACGGCAAAATCTATTTATGATTTCAAATATTTAGGATGCTGAACGTCGTGTATTTTTATCTTTTAAGTTCTATTTACAAATGTTTGAAATTTTATCAACAATTCTTTTAGATAACCTTGACATGTTGTCTTAAAAAACAAATATAACTGAAGATTTTGTCAAAATAGAGGCAATAATACTTGAAAGCAGAAAACTATAGCTTTGATAAAAACAACGTTAAACTGCTTAGTTGCTTATTTAATCATCATTACTCCCATTGGTTTGTTTAATTATGATAAAATTACCGATTCATGAATTCCAACTTTCTTTATATTCTAGCTTCATATTTTTAATCAAAATGATAGTTATTACTTAATTAAACCAGCTAATATATATGTACAATGCAAAGAAAACGAGGGGTATCAGTGACCTGTACGAGACCAAACCTAAAAATAATGTATGTATGCATGAATACATTCTTCTTTGTTGATTGAAGTTATGAGGGAGCTAAAATCAATTTCAGGTTTCAGTGTTTATTTATGTCCAGGGTTCTTGCACAGAAACGTCAATATGCATAGAATTGCATTACTAGTATTGAGATTTGTATAACATTTGTTCTCCGGTATTCCGGAGGCATCTTTAACTTTTGCTATTAGTTCATTGATAAATTTGTGTTTGCCCATCAGTTGGACCAAATGTTTCGATACATATTGGTGTGAATATTATTTTGATTTTTGGTCTGACGCTTTTTTCGCAGTGGTTTCAGTCTTCTTCATCTTTCGGGAAAAGTTATACCTCACACTAAGAAACGTTTTTGGGCCTAAGGTTCCCGATTCCAACCTGCACGACATTCTGTTGTAATCTAGCGTTTCCACCTTTGCACCACCTTGCTAGCATCATCTATTCTGGTACCGCAGGCGGTGCTCGGAACCGCTCCTAACCATTCGGAGACCAACTCCAAACTGTATCATCCTGGCTTCATCATGTATTTAGTTGTTAAGCGAGGATAATTTATCAATAGAGCTATTTAGTGATGATGCGTGCCACTGGACAAACTTATGGTGTATACGTTCCGATCTTCTAGGCAGAGATATCGGGTCGAAAAGCACTTGACTACTTTCAGGCGTGGTAGGTTTGACGATTGAATGCCCTGAGTCAAATTGTGACTGGGTCCAAGTGATTTCTCCTGGGTCGCCATCTTGGTTGGCACCGTATTTAGGACGGATTTGCTCTACGTGTCGTTTCCATAGAAGACCATGTGGGATCGATTTTACCAATAAGTGTCTTCGACCTAATTTTTGAAAAACTATTGCAGGAACCCATCTGGCTTGGCTTCTTGGGCCGTAGTACTTGACATAACACGGTTGACCTATCGAACCTTTCTCCTTATTGTAGTTCTCTTCCCTCTCTTTCCCTTTTGAAATTGGTTGGAGAATATCAATTTTAGTTCGTATTTGCCTGCCATACAGTAATTGACTTGGCGAAGGACCGGTTGACAAAGGAGTTTTTCTGTATTGCATGAGGAACTCTCATAAGGCAGCTTCGGTCGGCAATATTGGTTTTGCCATAGACCTTTTGAAAGTTTAAACGAACCTTTCTGCCTGACCATTAGTCACCGGGTGGTATGGGGCACCTGTAAGGTGCTGAATCTCCCTCTCTTTCAAATAGAGTTGAAATTCCTCAAAAGTGAAAGTTGTAGCATTATCAGTTACCATTGCAAGCGGGTATCCAAAATGTGTAAACTCCTGTTCTAGCAAGTCAATAGTTGACGATGTCGTAATTTTTTTTGTTGGATGGATGCTAGGGTATTTATAAAAAGCATCCACGATCACGAGCCAATTTGTTCCCATAAAGTTTATGGTATGGTCAATGTGTAATCTACCCCAAGGTCTATCCGGAACAGGCCAAGGCTCGTTGGGCGATTTAGGAGTATTGTTCTGATGTTCTTGACATGATGAACATTCTCTGCACAATCTTTCGATGTCTCTGTCCATGTTTGGCCAATAAATCGCTGATCGTGCCAGTTGCTTCATTCGTTGCATGCCAAGTTTCCCAGATGTAAAAGTTCGAGGGCTTTTTTTGAAAAATTCTGAGATTACCACTCTGTTTCCCATCAGTAAACAGCCTCCTGCCCGACTTAAAGAATTTTTTAATTTTATAAAATGTAAAATTTCCTTGCTTGAAATTTCTCTTGGCCAGCCCTTTTGAAGGAATTTACCGACAGAAAAAATACCCGGATCCTTTTGCGATTCATTCTCAAACAACTTTGGATCTAAATGCAACATTTTCTGGCTGACTGAGCTAATTGTACACACCTTTGAAAAATCTAGTTGCTCCTCTGCAGCATCAAATTTTGGATCTTCACCCGATGGTAAGCGACTCAACACATCTACATTTCCGTGTTCTGAAGTCTTCCTGTGTTTAATCGTGTAGTCGTATTGTTGTAAAATTAGACCCATCTTGTCAGTCGGTTTAATGCCAGTTTAGGAGTAGCTTTTGTCGGGTCGAATAAAGCCAGAAGTGGTCTGTGATCCGTCACAATTGTGAACTTTCTTCCAAGCAGGTATGAATGGAATTTTTGTAAGACAAAAATAATTGCAAGTGCTTCCTTATGAATCTTGCTGTAATTTTTCTGAGCACTTGAAAGTGTCTTTGAAACATTGAAAACAGGACGTTCTGATCCATCTGGGAATCAATGGAATAGAACGGCACCAATACCCACTTCTGAAGCATCACATGCTATTCCCACTAGTTATGATTTGTCGAATAGCGATATCATCACACTTGAAAGTATCATCCTCTTTAGACCTTGAAATGAATTTTCTCGATCCGATGTCCATTTCCACAATTCATTCTTTCTTGTCAGACGATATAATGGTTCCGCAACGCTAGACAAACCTGGAAGGAACTTTTTTTAAAATTGAACCGATCCAAGAAATGATTTTAATGTTGAAACATTTTCTGGTCGGGGCATTGAAACTACGGCATCAATTTTTTTTACCTGGGCCTATCCCTCTATGAGAAATGGTATGACCCAAGTACTCAACAGATTGTCTGGCAAATGAACATTTATGGCGATTGCATTTAAAATCCTTTTCTTGGAGACGCTGAAATAGTTTTCTCAAACTTTGGATGTGTTCATCTGCTGATTTTTCACCAATCAAAATGTCATCCAAGTAAACCACCTCATTTAGAAGATCATTAGTGAGTCCATCCATGGTTTCCTGGAAATATGCTGGAGCCGATAGTATACCGAAAGGTAAACGTTTTTGAAGAAACACACTTCGATGTGTGCTTAAAGCAAGGCGTTTTTGGCTCTCTTTTGAAAGTTGGATCTGATTGTTTACATCGGCCAGATCGATTTTGGCGTAATACAAACTCCCGGATAATTTTCTCATGAGGTCCTCAGGCAAAGGCATTGGGTATCTGTGAAACTCGAGTTGAGGATTAACTGTCACTGAGCAGTCACCGCATATTCGTAGATTGGTTTTGGAGTTTGTGCCTTTTTTGATTATTGGGACTACAGGAGTTCCCCAGTCATTGAAATCAATGGGGCTCCAAATTCCTCGTCTCACCCCATCCAGAGCTTCATCTACTTTGTCTTGTATTGCAAAAGGTTTTCTGAAAACTGGTGTTGTATTTTCTCGGAATTTGATGTCCAATTCAACATTCTTTAGAAAACCGAGACTAGGATCAAAAATCTCTTTGAATTCCAGACATAGCGTTTCACAATCGTTTGTCAACTTTGAAAAGTTTGTGCATGAAATTGTATTTATCTGGTCTCTCAACATCTTGTTGATATCTATATCGAAATCTTTAATTGATCTTCGACCGATTAAATTTAAACCCGGAATGTCTGTTACGTTAATTTTAATAGGTTTTCGGTCTAAACTATTTGAAATCGTGGCAACTACTGAGCAAGCATCTCTGACTGGGATATTATTGTCGGTTGCTGAACGATACTGAGAACTCACCGGAACCAAAGGAGGGGAACCTAAATCTTCCCAGACGCTGACATCGCAAAAATTTTCTCTGGCACCACTGTCCACTTCAAAAGTTTTATTGAAGTTTTTAAAATGTAGCTCTTGCCGCAGTTGATCATCCTCTTTAATATTTTTTATGGTTAAGACGTTTCTTTTGAATTTGGCAGCGAAACACACTTGTTTTACGTGACCGATTTTATTGCAGTGTGAGCATTTCATCTCTTTGGAGGAACAATCTGAGGCCCAATGGCCATGTTTTCCACATCTGTGGCATGACGAATTGGAATTTGGATGGAACTTTCCAAAATTCCTACTTTCATCCCTTTTGCATAAACCCCCGTGTTACCTCTGGAATATACCATCAGAACCGGATCACTGTGAGACGTACCCCCATAGACCGTATCTTAAGCTACTATTGCTGCACTTTCAATTTTATCCTCAATCTCGATAGCTTTGGAAAAAGAAAGCTGAGCTTCTGGAATCCTGAAAAGAGCTTTCAAAAGTTGCTTCATTTTGAATGTTGCAAATGAAATTTGTCCTCAATGCCTCATCTAATGGGTTTTCAATATAAAGAAAATCACATGTAGCTGCAGACTGTCGAATTTGGTTTGCTAATTCTTGAACTGATTCACCCGGTTTTCTTGTGCAGTTTGTCCAGAATTTGTAGCGTTCCCTAATCAGAAAAGTTGTAGGGTTGAAAGCTGAATTCATATATTCGACCATCTCCTTGAAATCCAATAAGTTTACATCACAAGGGGGAGACATTTGTTTTGAAACCATCTTCAGGGTTTTATATATATCCGAACTCTGATTTGTAAGAAATATCTGAGCTGCCTTTTGCTTCAAGACTGAATTGGGCCAGCAAGAAAGTTTCAAACCTTTTGATGTAGTCTTTGAACAACTCCTTTTCGGGCTGGAATGATTCGAATTTCGGTACTGGCGTGGCTTGAAAAGATTGCAATATCTTCGCCATTTTTAACTGTTGCTTCTAATCATTTCAGTAAACATCTTCATCATCTTCATTTCCGCCATTCTTGAATTTGTATCCACCGTAAATCAGGGATCCTGTCGATTGCGCCACTGTCGTGTTTCGTGGTTGAAGAGTTGAAATTATAATTAGACAACAATATGTGTAATGCACGTATACTATTTTATTACGGTTAAATAAATATAACGAGTGACAAGTTCTATAATCAACGAATTGAACGAATACAATAAAGCATGTTCACAATTAGGGTCACGTTAACAATCAATTATCGCTCATAAACAATAGAACAATAGTTAGCGATGTGTCCTGCACATAACACTAATGCAATCCACATTCGAGTACATTACGTTCAAATCCACTTCACTTACGATGACTGGATTTTCTTTATTTTCACCACTCTCATGCTTCTTGGCATTCTCTTTACTCTGTATATAAATTCCCCCTTATCTAATTTCTGTTTTTCAATTGCTTCATTAACCAACTTTTTTCTCTCCTCTCTTTGTTCCTCATTTAGATCATGTGATATACCTATCTTCTTCAAATCTTCATCTTAACTTTTTATTTTGTACAAATTTTCCATAATAAGGTTTTTTTTTCATTTTACTATCAAATTTAACCAGCAATGGCCTTGGGGCGTTATCTTTACTTTTTAATCTAAAAAATTTAGTTGCATCAGTGTCTGAAACCTGGTTATTTGACAAAACTGAACAAATTTCACTTGTTCTTTTTTTATCTTTATAGATAAAAAAATTCGTCACAACTTCTGAATTTTCACTTAAACCCAAAATTATTATGTTGTTTGCTCTTATCCTCTGCATAATACCTACTTATAATAATACTATTATTAGTTTTTGATAAAGTTTGACAAACTGCACGTACTTCTTTATTTACGCCTTCAACTTTTTTTGTTAACTCTTCGCTTACAACTTTTGCCCAGTTACTTACTCTTCACATCATTTTTTATACTCACAACTGATTCAGTAACTGATTTTTCTACTTTCTTGAAACCTCCAGATAAATCTTCTGTATTTGTTTCTATTGTTTTGAAAGACTCCAATATCTTCATATGACTTTCTTGCAGTGATTCCATCTTATCTTCCATTATTGTCTGTCTCTCATTGGGGGCTTTTAAACTTCTTATATTTTCCCACTGGCTTAAACATGCATTACAATTCCATGTGTAATTAACTATTTCAATAACTATTTTATGTAATTTTTCAGTCACCCCAGCACATTTATAATGAAAAATTGTTCTGCACAAACTACACTGTGGATTATTTGTGCTACACTCCCTACCACATTTACTACATTTATCTTTCACAACTGAAGACATTATGCCTTATATATAATTATAATATATATCTCCAGTGCAACGACAATCAGACACAAAAATAATTAACACTCAGCGATAGTGACTGGCGTGTATCCTACAACGGTTGAACTAACTCATTGCAGAACTACCCTCTTAAAGCTTCTAGATTGAATTCTTAGTTAAATATTAATGTAAAATAAAACAAAACACATAACCGTTTTTGGAACAATTTCACTGAAAAATACAATTCCACAATACGAAAATAAACTTTTACAAAATTTCTTTCAAGATTTATTAAGCTGATATTATCGCCCTCTGACCGAAGACTATCTGATGAATAAAAGGAAATAATAATAAAATAGTAAGGGTTATTCAAATCCGGGCAATCAGTTACCCACTGTGTCAAAAATCATTAAGAATTAAAACTGTGGCCTTTAACGGGTAGGCGTGGTAATATGGTGAGTTCGTCTAAACGTTTAAATTATGCGAGTAATTATTATTATTTTGCATGATTTACACGTACGTGTAAACTGTTGATTGATATTCAGGACAGTCATTTTTTGAGTGCAGAGGAGTGCATAATGGCAGCAGATTATCAGAACAGCTACCTCAACCCCTGCAGGCTTGCGTCAGATGGATACTTTGGCTCCAAATTCGTCACCGTAGTTGTTGCCGGTTGGTTGTAATTTAATATAGCTAACACTGCAGCAATTAACATAAGTTGCCTTTGAATTTCATATAAATTAAAACTGGATTGCATTAACTTTTTAACAATAAACAATGACTTGTATCTTAATTTTTCGTCAATTGACCATACGGGTGTTGATAAATTGATGCAGGTGATTCAACAAATCAGATCCATTTTGACGGCTATCAAGTATCAGATCAGTGCATGGCTCTAGTCAAAGATGACTGTCTTGTTCCCACACTCGACGCCCCTGAACTGGGCTACATAAAAGAATCAACGAATGAACAATATGTTCCCGATGTCTTCTACAAAGTTTGACGCATTTCTAATTTTTTCTCACATTGCCGATATTTTAGGCATGAATAATTGATAAATTTAAAAAAAAAGTTTTTTGAATTGTATGTACAACCAGGAAACAGACAAGTATGGTAATGAGGTGACCAGGTTAGCAAGACCACTTCCTGTTGAATACCTCTTGCTAGACATTGCTGTAGCCTTTCCAAAAGAACAAGTTTGTTACTGCCAATTTTTAACAAGCTTTTTGAAAAAATTGATTCCACCATTGTACTTTTTTTTGAATCCGTAAATTATAACTTTCAAATGTAATTTTGTATAATATGTAGTTAAATTTTAAATGAGAAACAGAGAAAATTGAAATAGATCGGTCCAAATCTCGCGTTACAAAATCTCCTCATTTTATCATCAATTTCTCCATCAAAACATGTCATCGACTTTTCCCCAGATCTGATAATATTTAACGCTTACAACTTTTTTTCTTTCCTTATTTGTGCAAATGAAGCACTATTCACTAAATTTATCGTCTAATGCCACTCAAACCAGTTCTTCCGTATATTTCAGTTTGGTTTTTATTGCACTTTGTTCAATCAAGTGCAAGTTGATTAACTTTTTTCCCAGCTTATTGGATCTACAATTGCAATCATTTCGCGTAAAACTATGGTTTTCATTTCTCAAAATATGATTGCATGCATCTTGCCAGTTTTGATTTTTTAAAGCTTCTGATATTAAAAAGCCATTTTTACTTCAATATTTACATAAATGCCTCTCCTTCACTGTTATTTCAGTAATCTTCTCTTTTGTTTCAAATCATTCATTATTGTGTAGCTCGATTTCCTCCGCCCTTGAACTCCCGACTGCAGATGTAGTTTTCATGACATTGAAACTGCATAAGTTGGCAGATGTACTTATCCGAGTTTCTCTTTATAGAAAAAAAATAAACTTTCACATTGTTTCACTTAAATCTTAAATGGATTATTAGATCACAGCACTATTTTTTATTATTATTTTGTTTTCCTTTATCCTCTCTAGGTCTCTTTTCTCATATTTACATTTTGTTTAGATTGTCATCTGATTATGATTAAACTTTTTCTAAATAATGTTCATTAACTTTATAGATAACGAATTTTTGTTAATTAATTAATACTTCTCAATTCCGATAATATAAATTTGCAAGTTACGTGAAATATTTTTTGTCCATCTTTATTTTTTTTTAGGTATATGTTTTTCATCTAAAGGCCTTACTTGATGAACATCTTATATCCTTTCTTTCTATCTTCAAATGAGCTAAACTTTTAATTAATATTGCGTCTGCTCTTAGCAAAAAAATGAGATTAATAAGATTTTTTTTATTTGTTGATTGGTTTTGCAACTTATCGTCTTTTTCACCTTTTTCTAGTTCAAGCGTTTTAATTGTTTAAGAAAATGTTTGTGATAGAAGTTGAAAATGTTTGCAGGCCTTCTCCTTTTACGCGTGTAATGGTCTCAATTCATTTCCTATTGAAAACAGGCCACACTCTCAAAACCAGGTTTCTTTTTAAAAAGTGTGCTTATAATAATAGTACTATCTATAAAGTTAATGAACATAATGAGTTTGTTTAATGAAGAGCATTTAATTTTTAAGACCTTTGAAGCGTTCCATCAGTATATGCAACAATTTCCAATTTCCAACTACATGAATGCATTCAAAGATTTCCATTTACTCATCTACATGGCGACCTGTGATGTTCTGCCTCTTAAAGTACTTGCAAACATTTTTTGTTTCATCAATGATTTTACATGCTAAATAAATGAGAACAAACTCCATAATGTTTTATTCTAGTATTTGTTTCAGTATTATTATTGTTTATATTGTATTCGTTTGTTGCATCGCGAGATAATTCTATTGAAATTTCAAATATTTAAAAATAAATTTTAAAAAATTAGGACTCAATGTCAGATTTGTTGCAAGCCTTGAAGACTAACGATGATCAACTCTTACAAAATTGGATCAAGTCTGAAGCATGGGCAACTGTACAACATATTATGGAAGCACAATGTCAGTTGTCTAGATACTATTCTTATTTTATTACAATTTTTTATTTGAAACCGAAGTCATTAGTGTTATTCGATTGGCTGGTCATTGAATATTATATGTAATTTTAGCAGCCAATCCGCCAAGTAACAGTCCATTGGAATTTCCATCTGCGTCTTCAGCCTCAGGATCTGCCGAATCAGCCTGGAGTTGCGCTCACTGCACCTACCTTAACCCACAGATCAATCAATCATGTGAAATGTGCAACTTGCCTCGAAGCTAACTTGGCATTGTTTCTTGTAACTAATTGTTTGGTTTTAAAACCTTTATTTATTATAAGATTCTTGTAATTCATTAAATGTTTTGCATTTTTTTCTTGTTAATGTCCATTGTTTAATAGTAACAACAATAAATTTGGGCTTATTTGTTGGCGTGTATGTGTATGTAAATAAAAATACGACTGTCAGATTTTGACCTGTATCCCGAAATACCGCTAATCTAACAAAATTCCGTTTAAACGCAATGTTTCCCAATATGAGATCCACCTTGAAGCAGGTTCATTTTCGAGGGGGGCAGTAGAAATAGTTTGGAAAAACTGTATGTAATAATATGTAAAACATTACCCCGAGGTTTGTGGGGCGTGGCGCGAAAAACGTTGGCAAACAAACCATTGTCTAACGTATCCGTGATCAACTAATGTTCAAATCTATTCTGCAGGCCCGATAAATGATGCTCAAGCTATCTCTTGTGGTTTAATTAGGTGTATTATTGATGTGAACAATTGGTTAAAATTGAATCGTTTGAAGCTTAACCCAGACAAGACGGAGTTGATAGGGTTTAGTTCTTAGAAAGCTTTATCTGCACTAGGAGGTATGACTTGGTATATTGGGTAATAGGTTGATCTCGGCTGACAGGGTCAAAAATTTTGGGGTGATGTTTGACAGAGCTTTGACGATGGTGCCTCAGGTCGCGAAACTCGATGCTATCTGCTTTCTTAAGCTATGAAGATTGTATCTGGTCAAGAAATGTCTCCAGTTGATATTTTTATTAGCCTGGATGTGACTTTTGTACTGTCTAGATTAGACTTGCTGTATGGTGCTGGTGTATGTAGGGGTAGTAAATAAAGTTCAACGAATCCAGAATGCTGCCGCCAGATTGGTCATTGGTCTAAGTAGACGATCAAATTACATAGTGGTTGGAAAGTCTCCACTGGCTACCGATCAGGGAACGAATAAGGTTTAAGATGGCCGTGGTGGCTCATGGTTGCGTACATGGTGGTGGCCCAGAGTATCTGAAGTTGATGTGGGACATACATTGCGCTCGGTTTTGTCAGAAATGGTGGTAATTCCTAAGACAAAGCTAAGTGAAAGATGTGTGCAGGTTGCTCTGCCCAAGGTATAGAATGATTTTCCAACAAGATTGAAGCAAATTGTTCCAGAAAAAGATTTCAGAAAAGAGTTAAAAAGTTATTTGTTCAACAAAGCATTTAATCACAGTACTATCCTCTGAGGAATGTCAATAGAGTGAACATAATAATAATAATAGTAAATAATAAAATTTTTAATGTTGAGATGCCATTATTTCTAGCGCTAAAACTACAAACTATTCAGAAAAACTTTTTTATTATTCATATCTTTTTAATGGATTTTTTAGAACTGTCTCGCTTCGTCTAGATTATAACAATAGATTTTTTCGATTTTTCAAATTTTACTTTTTATCCGAATTTATAGGCTGTTTGCATCTGCAAAAAGGATCGTTCCTTTTTGTGACTATGCTAGATATTTTTACGCTTTAATCTACATTTTGTCGGTTTTCATTGTCTTTTTTTTACAAAGGGCCTTGGTAACCGTTTCCTGTGCAGTTTCGTCTCTGTCCCGCGTTGCGTTGGTGGGTAAATGGTATGTCAAAAAAACACAGATTGCGAACATTCGCGAAAACAAAAAACGGTTAAACAACAATGGAGATCAAATCAAAATGAGGAAGAGGTAGAAGAGACACCCAGCCAAAAAGGAAAGAATTTGAATATGCTAAGGAACTAATATATCATTTAAACCCTGAGGGCAATGAAGAAATGTTTAAATTTTCTGAATACATTAAATTGAAAATATTTTAGAAAAACCATTTGTAATGCGAACCAGCCATCAAAGATTTTTTGACTAAATAAAAATTTATAAAATATTGTTTTTTGTTTTACTTGTAAAAACATTATTCGAATATTATAATTGAGATTTAATGTTGAGTCTTCAGGAGAGAGCAGTTCAGAGAAGTGGACAGTTTGAGCATTCCCCGTCGGTGTCCTCTCTTGAAAACTTTTAGCGTATTATTTCTTTTTTAAACATGTTTATTCAATGAAACGAACATGAAAAGGAACTCCAAAAAAAGAAATAACATGGGGCCTCTATATTGACACCTATATAATGCATCATAGACATCGATTTCACTTTAGTCCCGTTAAATAATTCGTTTGAGCGCAAGATTCTTTATAATGCCCGTTTTCGGTCTCAGAAAATTTGATTTTTCTGAGAATTTTTAAAACCAATACCGCACTATTAGATCATGATACATTTGACTGAGCTATAATATTTTGTACTCGTGTGCACGTTGTGTGGTGTGGATAGTGCGGCCTTTGTGGTAAATTGTTTAATTTAAGTATAAACCATAAAGCGACATATATTTAGTTTTGCGTTTGGCAGAGCTGAGGTTACAAAGAACGAAAAATTATAATAAAGGTTATTTAACCATAATCATAAACTAGTTTTATTTCAGTGTTTATATATTCCTGTGAAACAATCAGTATTCTACTAAACCGTTTATTTGATCTACTGGAAACGAAGAAATGGCACTTTTTGTCAATTTGATTTTGGGCAATTTACAATTTTTGTCCAGAATATAATTAGTGGCTGTTGGATGCGGTTTGATGGCAGATTTTCTAATATCAAACGATATGTTTTGAACCCAGCATGGTGGTTCTGTATTTTCATCAAAATCGACGACAAAACATTTTGATTGCTCCCAACAATATTTAAGACACGATTCAATTTCTAAGAACGTGACTTTCTCCAAATCTGGATAATGATGCATGTTGGTTACTGACCAACAATCTGTAAAAAAATGGTCAAACTATCAAAATAAACAAAATTTTTCAAATATTAATTCAATAATAATTAACCGTGAATTTTCAGTTTGTGAATGCACTGCCTGTTAATATAATAATCAGTCACTGTTTTTGCTTTGTGCAAATATGATTTGGCAACGTTAAGTCTCGTGTCGGTCTGAACCCAACAAGGAGGAACAGTTTTGGTATCGAAATCAACAGCTTTGCAATCCTTCGACTCGATGCAGTAGGTCAGACATTCCTCTGTCGTGTTGATACTCACTTTAGATAATCCGATAATTTTATGCTCATCAGTTTTGGTCCAACATTCAGCGTCTTAAAATTTATTCAGTTAATTTTTAAAATATTGCATAATTTTGAATTTTTAAAAAGTTAATCTATTTTTTAAGTTTTTCAAACATTCGTCATTTTGTTGTAGAAGTTCTTTGTTGTAATTCATTTGTCCTAATTTATGAGAACGCAGCTTCAATTCAAATGCAGAAATCTCCGTTTATCATATGCGGTGTGTGGGGTTCATGTACGCTGAGTTTTTCGCGTTGATACCTCTAAAGCAAGTGCGTAAAAGGCTACTGATCTTCAACTTTTTAACCGTCTTTATAGAGTTTTGAAATTTATTACCAGATATTGCTGATTATGCAAGTTATTTTAGTTTGAATTAATATTTTGTTAATGCATTCTTATGTTTTGCTTCATTTGTTGCAGACGTTTTTTTTAAAAAATGAATCGTTCAACTACGCATTCATCGAGTGATTCCTTACATCTTTCTATTAATGAGCCATGAAATATCCTAAAAATGATTAACAAAAAAAATAATATCGAATAATCTTTGCAAAAAATCATTTTAAGATATAATTGTACAAATCAAGATTTTGCCTTGTTTTTATTTCGAAAAAGTACTCATCTGCTTCTCGACAAATGTTTTTATACAAACATCGCAGTAAACACTGTCTGCATTAAACTGAAAATAATTGATTATTCCATATTGCTTAAGAAGCACTGCCTAACAATGCAAAAAATCATATATGGCAAGCCGTTAAAACGATTAATTACTTTTTGTAGAGAGCAGATGCAACATGGCTTTTGAAGCGAACTTTACATTTGCATATTTAAACAAAGATAAAACTTTGTACAAATTTTAAAATTTCAAATTTTTTAATAATTTTAATAAATTCTGATAAATGAAAGATAAATTCGGAACGTAACAAAATATCAAGCCGGATATTGCTTTATCTTTTCCTTGGTGCGTGTAACAAATGAAAGGAAAAGAACGAAACTATAATGATATTGAAAATAAAACTGCTTCATTTTTCAGGCATAAACAATGAACAAATAAATCGTTCTGAGTTCTAACAATACAACCTCCCAATGTTAGTGCAAGATGACGTCCGATATATTATTAGTTTTATGTATATGACGGGCATACACGCACGCACACACATACAAGCGCACAAACACATATATACACATATATACATATGATATACAAGCGAATGTGTGCGTGTTAAATAGACAATTTCAGATACATCTCTTCATTTTTCAATCGTCGCAACAGGGGTTATGAAAGATTGAAAAATGAGATGAAAACGATGCTTGCAGGTGCTCTCTTAAAATTTATGTTCGCAAAGGCTCCTGCATAGCAATTATCTAAAACTTGCCATTTCCAAAGCTCGTGCACAAACAAATTGACAAAATATTTAAAGCCGATTACTTTTTAATGTCACATAACAACAGCTGACTATTTTCTTATTCTCGATTGCGGATTTGTGAAAAATATAGAACAAGGATGCAAAAAAATATATAATAAACAAATAATATTCTTTTAATTTTTTCATTCAAATGACTATTCTATTAAAATGAATTCAACGAACACCATTCGTAAGATAAATTATATGACAAAATAGAAAAAATTTCAAAAAAATTGCAATTTGTATAATAATAACAGAAAAATTTGTTCAGATGTTTAAAAATATTTCACGAAAATGATATTATTAGCTAATTGATTCAGCGGACAGCTTGCCAAGTCATGACATAGTGATATAAAATTTGTAATACGTTTTATTATTTTGACACTTTTGATTAGGAAATAGCAATGTTTGTGACAACTTTAGCATATTTTTTAAAGAAACTGCGCATATTCAGTGTATCGAAACATTTTCTTCGCTGACTTGGCCTGCACGCTGTTATTTATACCGTGCATGTGCTAACGCGAAGGCGCAGAATTATGTTTGGAGTAGAGATAGAAGATTTTATTGGTTTATTTGACGTTGTGAGCTGTTTTAAGGACAAACTTCTATCACTTTGTCGTACTAACATGTTTTGATATATAACAAAAAAATGATATCTCCATCAAAAAATTTAATAGTCTTGTGTTTATGCGTGTTGGTTAAATGTTATCAATGGCATCTGGTTCAAAATCAAATAATTTATGAAGGTAGCAATTAATATAATATTAATTGTTAATTAAATAGTCAACAAGTTGGTTTAGCAAGATATCATTTTGTTGAACCAACCAGCAGGCATCAGTTACGACGACCCACCAGCTAACGACGAGGAGGAGGGCAGACGGTCCGACCACGCAGTAGAGGCTAGCACTGAACATTCCAACAACGAGAACTCCTTTGTAGTCGATTGTAATTCATTTCCTGATAAAACATTAAACACGCCAAATGCTTTGGACGGTAAGTTTAGTAATGAATTAATTTTGTTAAATCATTTAATTGCTTTTCAATTATTAGTATTTGAATTTTTGAGTGTTGCTTATATAAAAAAAACTATTGACAAGATCTCACCAGTTCTGATATTGTCCGTTATTGGTGGAAAGTTTGTAGCCGGACAAACGCTCATTCGCTTGCATCAAATAAAGTTTTAAATTTGGAACCTAAAAATAATTCTCTTTTGGATTGGCTGTTGGCAATGCAAGGCAAGTTTGAGTTAACGTGTTTATTTTAAATGGAATAACAGGCCATTAATTCATTTGTTTTGTACAACAAACTATACTATTTTGTTTCAGATACTTTCGGAGCATCGTATGATACATCAAAAGAAAGTGAATCGGTCAAAAAAAAATTGAAACGTGAAAATTTATTAAAAAGCATTAAAAAAAGTTCTAACAATATATCAAAATATCAAACAGATTACAAATATAACGTTGACGACCAAAACAAAAACGTTGGCACGGAAGACAGTATGAAAAGCAAAACGAACACTGCAGAAGAACAACAGAATGAACATAACCGAATCATGCAGTTCTTTTTGAAGAGACAATCAGGAACAGGTTAAAGGTTTTGTTGACAGAAATGATGCATACGTGTGTTACTTGCTGATTTCTTTCTTGTCATTCGTTCTCACTCACTTTTTTTTTCTTAGCTACACGTCTCTCAACAAAGAGGAAAAACAATCGTTGATTACGACTTCCCAATCTTGAATTTGCAAACAAAAATTTATTATATTTAATTAAACGGGAAAAATTTGAGAAAATGTTAAAAATTTAAATATTATATTATAAAAATTAATCAAATGTAAACAAACTGTTCCAAACAGTGCATTTATTACCTCAGTAGATAGTAATGCAAACTATGGTGTTTCTTAGGTAATTCTCAAAAACAAAAACAAAATTTCGTGGTTAGAGACATACTCCTACTCCGCCGATAGGTGTAAATGGCTATTTAACTTGCAGTAGCAGTTTGACAAATTCTTATTCCTGAATACTGTCGGATTGAAAATCCTAGCGACTAAAAAGATTAATAAATAAAACACCACAAACTAAGAAGGTGATTTGTGCGGGCTTTATAAGAAACTGCGATAACTATTCTGATGGGTATTCGGACTGCTGATGAGTCCCCGGTAGAGACGAAACACGTGTCCAGCCTATCCAAACGAATACTATTCTTTTCTTCTCCCCCTCACTGCTCTTCTGGTTCAGTGTTTTCATCATCAAAAACGTATTTGCGGGTGCAGGTCAATTGACATTTACACTCACAGGCGCAACCAAAATGTGTTTTGGGAACTCTTTAAAAAACACTTTACTATTATTATTATGTGAATATTTAAATAGCCCATTTTATAATATCGTGGTGTTCACACAGGTGCTCCCACACAATATAAAAAAAAATATAAATGAAAAATCATCCAATTTTAATCCTAAGTACAAAGGCACTCTTAACTAAATTTAAATAACAACTTCTTCTTTTCATGTGGTTGGTTTCTTGACATTCCTTGATTTGTTGCTGCCAACAAGTTTCCTCTTCTTGATGCTCCAAATTATTTGTCTTGAATTTTTAACATATCATTATTTTCAGCATCAATATACCATAAGGCAGGTGAACAAGGCTACTGCTCCAGAGCCTCCACAAAAAAGACCTCTACAAGATACATTACTTTAGAAGTATAATATGAGCCGAATTTGCAACCTTTTTTAGTTTTCCATTCACATTTAATCCGCAATTTTTTAGTTACTTTATTATTATTTAAATAATTGCTTTTAACAAATAGTCAATGAAAAAATATGTTGAAGATGCATTTTGTTTCTTCTGGACGCCTTTCTTGCGGATGTTCTGGAGCAGTAGCTTTAACCCTATCTAAAATCTGGCACTAATTATTACTAAATGATAAATGAAAGCCCCAAACATACTAAATTTTTTTTATGTTCGTTTATGCAGTGATATTAATTTCTGTTTAATTTGATTTTTTAAGAATGATTTCGATGTTTAAAACTTGAATATAAAATATTTTTAGCTATTATTTCTAAACTATGACAGTTCTTATTCAACTTAGTTTTTTAAGTCCAAGCAAGCTGAGCCGATTGGCTAAGAATTTTTCAAGCCATGGTTAACCGATGGAGCCGATGCCGACGGTTAAAAACTTAATTAAAAAAACTAAACAATTTTTCAATTTTTTTGCGTTTCAATCAAAGATATTAAAATTTAAAAAATAACTAAAAATAATAAATAATTAATAGTTTTAATTAGAATTACACTATAATATATTTGGTTTCAATTTTTATTATTTTTTATTAATTTCAATTACAATTTTTAGTATCGCTAATTTTACAAAATTATCGTTGTTTGCGTAACTCTCATTGTTTAGCTTGGTTTGATTTGGCTCAACTAGGTTCGACTCGGCTCGTTTTGGTTCAGCTCGGCTTGATTTGGCTTGAATCAGTTTGGCTTGGCTTAAATCGGCTTATTTTTACTTGGACACTAAGTCGAGTCAAACCATGTCATTCAACACTTTGTTTCATCTACACGGATTATTTTATTGTGAAACATTTTTTATTTTTTTCTCATCCAATAGCCAAGTTCATTCCATACGATGTTGAAAAGCAAGTGACAAGCGATAACTTTGTAATTCCCACGTCTACCATAAAAAATATACCAAGTAGTTTCCATTTTCCTATCAACCAAATTGATGATTTCAACAATTCAAAGTTCGTGATCAGTTACTCCCGCGATAACAATGGTCACAAGCGTCGTGATAAAGGCCAAGCGGTCAATTATTGGGACGCTTTCCGATCACACGCTGATGAGTTGCGCTACCACATGCAGCCGTTACCTTTTTTTAGGATAGGCTAACCATGTAACTGTTGATAAATATTTTCAATAATACGAAAGAACATCTAATGTGAATGTTACACAGTTAAAATTAATTTGTTGTTTCTTCAAAATATAATGATGACTTGTGTTTGTTCGTGTGGCTATATTTAAGATTCAACGCTGCGTCGAAAATTTAATCAGCTCAAAAAGGAGTCAAATAGAGATATTTTTATTGTTTATTTTATTAATTAACAATATTTTTTGCTAAATAATGACAATAATCATTGCAACGCATCCATTCATAAAGAACTTCCAAAATATTGTTTTGATTTTAATGCGTTAAAGGACTAATAAATAAATAACAACTTTTTCATTTTTAAAATTTTTTAAACAATATTTTTTAATTTCAGTCAGCTCAATATAGCGTCATATTTTTCGTACAGGAACAGGGCTTATGCACTGCACACCCAGGCAACGAACTTACATTTATAATGGTCACATCTTTCATGTAAGAATGTAATCATTCACCAAAAAATTTACTGTCAGTTATTAAAATAAATGCTATTGAAAAAGAAAATCGCGCGGATCTCCTTGACAGCAGGCAGCACTTTTTGATGTGGTCGTAGCATTTGCGGTCCGATTGAACGGCTACTGTCCACTTTTTGTCCGATCAGGCAAAATTACATAAAATTGCAAACAAGAATTGATTCCATTTCTCCATTCCCAAAGATTTAGTTCTAATAAGCGAATGGTCCGATTAACCGGGTGTCTTCTGTTTTTACGACACATGATAACGTTTTTGACAATTTTTTTAATTCTTGTAATTATATTTAAATAAATTTTCATATTTGCACGTAATAAGCAAATAAACTTTTTTTGATGTCTTTAAAGAATAAATTGAAAATCAATTAAAACAATAGAATTAGAAAAAATATTTTTTCAAGATTTTATTTTTTGAAAGCTTATTTTGTTGCTTTAAGTTTTGAATAAAATTGCTCCAACCTATTCTCAGTTAAATTCATGATGTTAACATTTTTTGTTAGCACCAGTTTTGGTCAGTAGATTGTTTTCTTCATAAATTGAATTGAATTTTTATAACATTTGTAATCAGACGTTTAATTTTTGTGTTCTAATAAAAATCGCATGACAAAATAACTGAACAAGATTTTTTATTGCAATATAAGACAGCCAAAATAAAATCACAACATTTGTCAGCAAACATTTTTTCTAACAATTTCATTTTCTCGAATGAAAACCAGTAAAATTTGTTGCCTGCGTAAAGATAAATACAAACAATTTTAATTTCATTAGAGCCTAGAATCAATTTTTTCCTAAAAACTACAAAAAATGTGCAGATCAGCCTGGTTTCTGTTTGGCTTAGATTCACGGAGTTGGTTGTCCATTGCAAGTGGCACATTCATTTGCTGGCTCATCACACATTTCGAAATAAAAATTGTTGTAGTTTTTTAATAATTCCTAACAAATTTTATTACGAAGCAATTAATAACAAATTCACTTACATTAGTTACACTATTTTAATATTGATTTTTTTTCAGGTTTTTATCAACATATATGGGCAGTGTCCTAGCGAGCATAACTGCAAATATTACAAATAGCTGCTTTTAATCGCCAACTCAATGCTTCTACACAACATTTCAGTTATATAAAAATCCTTATGGAAACACAAAATATTTTATTTTCTAATTGTTTATGTAACGTTTATTTGCTCAATTAATCTATAAATTCTACCGAAAGTTGGCGTTAAT